GAGGATAATGTGAGTCTATATAAATATTTATGATTGACACAATCAGGTTCCAATGTAATCATATAATATTGTTTCTTTGTTTTCCCCTTTTTCAGCGGTGTTGAACTCAAGCTTAAGGGTATGATTGGATCTATGGAAAAATGGGAAAGCATTGAAGACATGAAAAAAATCTTTTGGTACAAAAAGACAACAATGTCAGGTACATTTTATTTTCAGTTTTCCAGTTCTGCTGCTTAATACAACACTGCAATGTCACTGTCATAGTATCATAGTAACAGGTGACAATTTTTTTCTCTGCACTAAGACATCTGTAATCTCTTTTGAATATATCATTATTTTTTATTAGGGGAAAACCACATAATCTGTCCTGGGAAAATAGTTTTGAGTTTTGAATTCTTTTCAACTTTTTTTCATCCCTTGAATGAATTTGCCATTGTTTGATTATCTAAACCTGATAAATAACATCTGATAAATATTTGTTGAATTTATTTATTAGAATTATGATTGTGCATGGAAATGTTTACAGACTTCAAATGATTTGTTAAAAAAAGATTCAACGATTCTAAAAAAAAACTATTGCAAATCCAAAAGCCCTGCCCTGCAAGCACCTTTTTCTAGATCATTTGTGAAGGTTTTGACTGCATTCCATCTCAAATGTCAACATAGCACAATGTAATTTATTAAAATAAGATAACAATGTTGAACCAACAATCTTGTTTGTAGTTAAATGACCATGATCATCATGTTATATTTCAAACCTGAACAATGAAAAACATTTTAGACATTTTATCATATCTGCCAATTGCTTTTCTTCCAGAGTATGTTACAGAGCACTGGAAGGAAGACGACTTTTATGGATACCAGTTTCTGAACGGAATCAACCCCAATGTGATCAAGAAATGCTCAGAGCTTCCCCCAAACTTTCCAGTCACAGAGGAGATGGTGAAGCCGTTTCTGGAAGAGGATAGCTCTCTGGAGGAAGAAATGGAGGTATGAAAGGAGAGTGGCTTTAAATGGCTGATAATATTTTCTTCAGGAGTAGATTTGTACATTTAAAGCCTGTACTTATATCACAGTGGATCCCTGAATCATATTCTCTTGATTTATTACAAACACATGTGCTACCTCTTGATGCCTTAAACACTTCTTTCTTCTGTCTTTCCTCCACATAAAGGACGGCAAGATATTCCTCTATGACCAAAAGAAGATGGATGGAATACCTGCTAGAGACTACAATGGTGAACCTCTGCATGTGAGCGCTGGTCTCTGTCTGTTCTACTTGAACCCGGAAGACAAACTGATGCCAATTGCAATACAGGTATTTCACTGATACATTGAATCAGAAGTTTTCAGAAGTCTTGTCACACTACTTTAACATACTGTATAACAATTAAACGTGTTTTTATATCACATTCCAGCTGCATCAACAACCCTCTGAGGATAATCCCATCTTTCTGCCCAGTGACTCAGAGACGGACTGGCTGCTAGCCAAGATGTTTATCAAAAATGCAGATGTCGTGGATCATGAAGTGGTCCATCACCTCATGAAAACTCATTTTCTGGCAGAGGTCTATAATATGGCCACTCTTCGCTGCTTCCCTGTGATTCATCCCCTCTACAAGGTATAACTACACTCTGCTGTGTAGTTATCATAGAGCTGGCGCCTCTTTTTCTAAACTGATGATCTAATTGTGTTTTTTGAGTTGATAGTAGAGAGGAGACACAAAATACAATACCAGTGATGGTGCGATTGAGAGCAACGTAAACCTCCAGACCCCCAGGACACTCAATAACCTTAGATCTTAACTTATAATTCATGGTAATTGATTTTAAAATTTTATATTTTAACATGTCAATCTTAGAGAAATGTATTACATTGAACTGTACACAATTTATAAATACGTAAATAAAGATTAGGAACAACCAATTATAAGGGTTGTAATAAAATAATAAATCTTTATAGAACACTTTTCTACCCCAATAGTTGAGGCATGAGAAAATGAAAAAAAAAAAAAAAAAAGACTGCACAACTTTTGTGAAGCGCTGCTCAAGTTGAATTTATGAACAAACCAGATGCCAAGATTATTTGGCTGTTCCCTGTTGGAACATGTACACAGCTATGTGTACATGCTGAGTGGAAACCAAGCACCAGACTCCACCTCTTTATGACTTTATGCTTTCTGAGCTTCAGTGCATTCTGTATGGTATTTTTCTTTATCTCATTCCCACACGCCATTAGGGAGGATAAGTTTTCAGTGAATTATTTTTAGCCCTTCTCTCAAAGCCTAGCTTGTTGATTCCCCTTTGCCTGATGTGTGATGGATATTGTTATTACTTTTATATATATTATATATATATATTACATATATACAGTATATGTACAGTATATGCACATATATATATATATGTATATATTAATACATGTTTTCCTTTTGGAAACAGGGCATGTGGGATGTTTCAAATATGCAGACATTGTTGATGTAGACTGATGTTACTGGCTTCTTTAAATGATCATCACAGTCAGGATGTGCTGTCTATTGATTGTTTACTGAAATAAGTGTCTGATTTTTAATATTCTTCCGTCTTTCTGTACAGCTGTTGATTCCACATTTCCGGTACACTTTCAACATAAATATGGTGGGCCGTGAATCTATTTTTGGAACCAATGGGATTTTAAAAATGGTAAGGCTACAACATCCCTTTTTGAATATTCCCACAATTCCAATTATTCTGAACCACTGCAGAATTTTTATCAAGTTTCAGTCTTTGATTTTTTTTTTTACAATGTTGACTTTTTTCTACTTAAAGAAACTTTTCTGATAATAAATATTTCCATATAATTGATAATCAGAGTTCACTTGGATCTGAGGGGCTGACAGAGCTCATGAGAAGGGCTCTCTCTGAAACCACCTACAGCTCCCTCTGTCTGCCAGAGAACATCACTGCACGAGGACTGAAGTCAATCCCCAACTTCTACTACAGAGATGATGGACTGAAGCTGTGGAACATCATCAACAGGTAACTTTTAATTTAGGTAATAAATATTATGCAAATGTAAATATATACAATTAAAAATCAAATTGTTTGTGTTTACCAGATTTGTGAAGGCAACAGTGGGGTACTATTATCCCTCAGACAAAACGGTCCATAAAGACACTGAGCTGCAGGAATGGATCAGTGAGATATTCATCCATGCCTTCTTAGGAAACAAAGCCTCAGGCAAGCCTGCTCAATTTGTTGTTAACACAACCTGAATATAAATTGGCCTGTATAATGAAGTTTTCCACACAGGTAGCAAATGCCAAATATTAACTGATAACGGTGGTGCTGCCAACAGGGTTTCCAGCATGCTTCAATACTGTAAAGGAAGTGATCAGATTCATCACAGTGGTCATCTTCACAGTGACGGCTCAGCATGCTGCGGTCAATAGTGGACAGGTGAGGCAGGAGTAAATAGGAAAATGGAATATGTAGTGCTGTTTGATCAAATTTTCCATATATGGAACGTTTCTCATTCAATACAATTAGTCTTTTAATAACATCTATTTTTCTGTGTTGTTTTATATTAGATTCAATTGATTAAATCTGTTTTCCATTAAAGTTTCCACAACATCAACATATGAAAAAAATAGCATATAAATATAAATTAAAAGGCTTCTTTCATAATCTAGTTTGACTACCACTGGGTGCCCAATGGCTCACTCCTGCTGCACAAACATCCTCCGACCACTAAGGGGCAGTCAAGCATGGAGACAATTTTGGAGACCCTTCCAAATGTTGGAGAGACTGTCAGCTTTGCAGCAATGGCTTGGGTGCTGTCAGAAAAATACACTGATGTTGTAAGTTTGTTTTTTATGAACACTTAGAAAATACAGTAGATTATTATGGCCTATCCATGTGGCCTTTACCACAAAACACTGTGTCAATCAATATGTCTGTGTTGTATATTTCATTTTGGCAGGTTCCCTTGGGTGCATACCCCGAAGAACGATTCGATGAGCCTGCTCCTAAGCAGATGATCAAGGATTTTCAAGAAGAGTTGTCCTACCTCAGTGAAGAAATTACATCAAGGAACTCTGAGCTTAAAGTGCCCTACACATATCTGAACCCTACTGAGATAGAGAACAGTATAACTATTTAAGAAAGTCTGAGGGAGTCATACTGTATTAACTGATTGTATACATACATTTCTCAAAACCTGTCTTGCATGCTGGGAGGTGTGTTATGATTTGAACTTAACTGTATATATAATAGGTGAGGTGTTAGAGACAGTGAGGTGTTGCATGCTGGGACAAGGAGACTATAATTTAGTTATGATGAGTGTGCCTATGGTATGTGGACCTACTGTATGTTGAGAAGCTAGCAAGTAGAGGAAGTAACAGCTTCTATTTGGTGAATAATTCTAATTTGAAGGTTTTCTGCATTGGTGTGCTCTTCTGCCATTGATTTTGTTGCTTCAGACTTCTAAGTGCATAACATTTATTTTTACATATTGGTAATTCTGGAAGTAGAGCTACATTGAGTTCTACACTGGCTCAGAAAACTTGTAACTAAAGTTGTAACAAACACAAATACACACATACACAAACACACAACAGACAGTTTTCATATCTAAAAGTGAAGTTCAAGCTTGAGGAGTATATATATCTGTTTATTGGAAATGCATGAATTTGTTACCTAAAATCCAGTAAAGGTTTTGGTTGTTCAGTTCTGCAATGTCCCTTCAGTCTTACCACATTAACAAAATTTTAGGACTTTAACCTCTGTCTACTTTACTGAACACTAAACCCAGTGTTAGTGAATTGTGTGCACAGTCCCTTTATTATACCATCAATTTAGCTTCAGCCAATTCTATAATGCTGATGAAGTTAGGGTGTACTGACGTTTGTTGCAGTTTTCTTGGATATGGACCTTTAATTGTGACAGAGTGGGACCTCATTCTTTCCTCCCCGTCTTTGCTGCAAACTACACCGGTCAAAACAAGACCCGATTATTTTTAGACTACACTACACAGCGCATCGGCCACACAGTACCACGCGCTATAATATAAGCTATAATAGCCCAAGCCTGCCATGCTGAACGACTGAGGACATCTAGTAAAGGCTGCAACGATGTTATTCAGATTCGGTGTCATTCTCACTCCGGAGTCTTCCGATGTAGAGGTCTTTGTTTTGGGGTCGCGTACGGAAATGGGCCACTGGGACCCGAGCAGAGCGGTTCAGATGACAGCCTCTCACAAGCTTCTGTCACCACATGAACCGAGTCTGTGGATCGGCGACGTGAAGCTGTCAGAGCCGTTTAAAGACACACTGTGGTTCAAGTTCGTCAAAAGAGTCAGAGGCACAGGCACTTATATCTGGGAAGGTATATATTGTGCAGCAGATGTTGCCGCGTACACAAGGATGTTGCTTACAAAAATGTCAGACTGATTTAATGTAATTCCCAACGAAGGTAAAGGGGCAAAAGACGAAAACAACTCCGCCATGTTTGGTTCATATTGTGTAATGTATCCTTACCGCCACATGATGGCGGTAAAGTGACACTTAGCATTTACCAATATGATCACTGGCTCATTTCTCTGCACCTGTACTTCATCAGTCTGCTTATATCAGTGATGTAAAAGTTGCAATTCCATAGTGTAAAAATACTACATAACACATTATATAATATGTGATAATATTGCATATTATATTATACACACACAAGTAAAAGTCCTGCACTCAAAATAATATAAAAGTATCTTATAAATATCAGTAAAAGGATTTTTAGATTGTTCTATTATCATAATAGAGTGCTATATTATTATTTAAATAACATTACTGGATTATTCGTATTGATTCTTTAACATCTCAGCAGCACTTTGAGGTGGAGTTAGTTTTACTACTTTATATATAGCTGGGTTGTTTATAAATATGCAGCATTTTTTTATAAACAGATTATATATTTGCCATTTATTTAAAATATGCAAAGTAACTAGTTGAGTAACTAGTTACTGTCCCTGCCAGATGAATGTAGTGGAATAAAAATATTTCCCTCTGAAAGCATTATGTAGAAGAAAATGGAAAATATCTGGAAAATTACAAATACTTCAAAAGTAAATGCACTTTGCTACCCTCCTCTCCTTCCCTCTACTCTCCTATCTGATGCTTAAGCAGTTGTTTTCCTGTTTTATTTTGTCCCTCAAAAAAATATATAGGCAGCCTCTGACTGTGCTTGTTTAGGAGAGACATCTTTAAAAATCATCTTTATGAGTACTCTGTGTCCTAAATAATTGAGTAATTGGTCACTAACTTGCTAAAAGGTTGTCCTCTTTCTCTCCAGGTAGTGGTTCAAGCCATGACAGGTGGTGTACATACGATGAGAAGAACATGGTGGATGGAGTGTACTGTCACCCGATTGGTCACTGGATAGAGGAAACAGGACACACAGATGAGATGAAACATACCACCAACTTTTACTTTGGTGTGGCTGGTCAGAAGGCCATACATTTTTCCAGGTAACACAATAAAAGCATTATTTGCATAATGTTGGATGGGGATGCTAAGAGTGTCTAAATTTCATGAAGAGAGTAAAACATGTCACAGTTCCAGCTGAAAGATTTTCATAGTTAGTAATTTGGCAGCCTGACTTATTGTAACTTACTGTTAAAGGTAGGCAGCATGGCTGGCATTATACGGGAAGCCTGCAACATGAAACTGCTGAGGTTTACTTAAGCAAGATGCATGCCAGCATAGAGCCTCTGGGTGTGTTTTTTTATTGATGTCATTGCTACCGTCATCATTGTTTTTGGGTGGGTCAACATAGTATTAAGACAGAGAAAACAAACAGGAAGACTTTGATATTTTTGATTTTGATTTTTATTGTTTTCACAGCCCATCACCTGGATCATTGAAACATGACACCCCTTACAATCCTTTGCAGTCTCTGTACTTCATCCCATTCTTTTACCTGAACATTTATGATCAATGAAGTGCCATTAGGTGACTGTGCCAAGCCAAGAAATAGTCTAGCACATGACACCCCATAAAACCCCAATTTGTCATTTTTACACTTTGGCTTTAGTGTGGTGTAAACAGACAAGATAGAACTTGTCGATTAGTGAGGTTTACAGGTGCTGGTAGGTGGATTTTGTTACCCTTGGACAGAGCCAGGCTAGTTGGGATACCCCTGTGCCTTTCTGCTAAGCTAAGCTAACTAGCTATTGAAGGAAGTTTCATATTTACTGTACAGACACAAGTATGGTATATATCTTCTCAACTAACACTCATCAAGTAGGAAAACAAGTATTTAATAGAGATTCCAAAATACTGAATTTTCTGTTGTGATTTTCAGTTATTTGGACATTTATATATTCTTTATCTTACATCTGCAATTTACAATAAAAAAAGCCCTAAACTAGCAAACAAACAAAGTACCCATCTCGTAGCCTGTAGTAAATACAGAGATCCAATAAAATGTGATTTTTGTTAGAAGTTTTCTGCCTTTGTGATATGAAATCTGATGTGTACCAAATTTAATGATACTAAACATGAATAAAAAACAAAATCATTAAGTTCCCTGGGGCCAGGATCAAATCAGCTCCTCTTTTCTTATTTTTCTTTCAGTTTTCAAACACAACCGATCTTCTTTCATAAGGCTTGTACATTAATCTACAGTATGTTCTCAGTGTAAGCTTAAATTCTACTTTGTCCTGATATTTAATTCCATCAGAAAAAATGCTCCTGCTGTACTTCAGTGACCTGTAAAAAGGGCAGGGGAGTCATGTTGTACTGGCGGGTTTTTTTATGAAAACTGCAGCACAGACAAAGCCTCAGTCACCCTGTTATGCCTTATCACTCCTTTGTTTTTTAACCTTGTTCTCAACCATTTAGTTATAATCGCTGTCTGTCACTTTGACAATGATTGTTCTTTAAAAAAGTAGACCACTAGCAGTTGTATTATTACCTACTCAACTTTGTTAGTGATCTCAGTTGAAAGGAAAGGTCGTTCATTTTTATTTTCAAGGCAGCTCATACAGTAACTGGCTCATTTTGCATAAGTGATTGATAGTTACTCCTACTCCTTAATATGTATACATTTATTTTCTTATTTTCTTTTCTATTCATAAGTATATTAGAAAGTGAGACTGGCAATGACTTTGGCTAAATTCAGTCATTTACATCTTCAAGGTCTAATCATTGCATTAATTAATAATTTCCTAAATCATTCACTCTGTACTCCGGTCAAAATAGAGCTAAACTTTTGTCGCATAATTTACAGTGGGATCCTTAACAGATACTCTGTTGTTTCATTATTATAAATGTTCCCCACAATGTACAGTTAGGAAATCCAACACTCCTTGCCCATTTCTGAATCATTTGCTACACTCTTTAGCACATTTGCAGTATAGCTCTAGAAATCCCAATGTCTGTTGAGCAGTCACCTCAGTCAGTCCATCATTTTGGTCCAGACTGAAATGTCTCATTAACTGTAACATGGATTATTATCAAATTTTGCACAGACATTCATGGTGCCCAGAGGACAACTCCAACTGACTTTGGTGATGCCCTGACTTTTCCCAGAGAGCCACCATGAGAATGACATTTGTGGGTTTTAGTGAAATACATCAACAACTATCAAGTGGATTGTTGTGATATCTGGTACAGATAACCATGGTGCCCAGAGGATGAATATTTGTCTTCGGTCAGTCATCCAGTGGGTTAAATAAACAGTCCACCACCGGGTTTTATGGTTTTACTGACGATTGCACTACCCTCTGATGTACCTGCCTCTCAGACCATAATCACACGTCTATGACATAACTTTTATGATTTTGAAGTTCAAGCAATGTTAAAGCATGAGCAGTAGTGAAAGACAGGCTTAAAGGGGTAAATGTAATTTGCTAAATTTCTGGGGTTAGATGCAAGAAAAAAGTGATGGTTTGGAGGATGCATGTTCATGTTTGAATGAAATCTATATATTGGGCCTAAAAAGAGGTTAGCAAATAACCACACACACAACATCCATCATGCAACAACCTATCCATGCATGCCTTCCTTTTGTAAGGCATACACACAGTGCCATGGTATACCAGGAATGGCAATAATTTACCACAGACCCCGAAAGCAGTAAGTATATAACTTGCATAAGAATGAGGAGGCTTGGCTGGTGCCATCAGGTTTTAATTTGTGTCCAAAGACCTTACAAGGCTTATGTCAAGGACCTATGTTCAGTAGGAGGCACTGTGCCCTTGTATCATGCCTATTAATAGCTTTTTAAATTAGTCTCTCAGACCTTGCAACCGTGTAGCCCCAAGTATGATTCACACTCACCTCTGTAGTAAATCACTATATGAAAAAGAGACTTTAACGTACTTTTAGCCGCTGCCTCGTCTCTTGTGCTCATATACAGAGTAAAAGAGGCCTAAGGGTAATACAGCCATTTTTGTAATGAGTTTTTCTTATCGTTGAACAAGTGGGATATTTCAACATGTTGAGATGTTTGTTTTTCAGTCATAAGTAAAGTTTTTAAATCAACTTGGGACAACTAAACACTAAAGACAAAAAAGATATCCTTTTGAAAAATTAACATATAATCCTGCATTATTTAGTTAATTATGCAGTGTATGAAAAGACAATGTAAACAACAAAACCATCAACTAGCATCAACATTTCTTATATTTCCATTTTACTGTACTAAAAGAGAGATAATAAGAAAACATTTTGTTTGACATCAAAATAATTCGAATTTTTATCTTGACAGAGACTGATATTGAGAGTAAAGCTAGTGTTATATTTTCCACATCCGCGAGTATGCATGGGTCTGCGAGGGTCCCCTAGGGTCCATGACGTAAATTTTGTTATCAGGTGTACCCTCCAATTTGTTGTGTCCGCAAGGACCACAACAGTCTGTATGGCAACAACTACAAGGACCAACTGTGTATGCGCTCTTCTAAGCGGACTACAATGTAGTATAATAAAAACATATTACTACACATCCGTAGTGTCTTCAGCTGTCCGTGTACATGTTCAAAAGGGAGTATAATTGTAGCCTAAGAAAAATAGGTGTATAATTTTTCAGTGGAAAAACAGTTAATTCACCAACAACAAAGCCATTTTTTCAGGTATTTTTATGTAAAAAAAACAACAACAAAAAAACGGACGTTATCTGGTAACAGCAAGTCAAGACCAGAGACTTTCACTGCACTGCCACTCTGGAACATCACAGATTAACAGCGTCCTTTCTTCCTTGCATGTGTCACCTCCTCTGGTTGTTGACTTTATGCATGCTAATGAGCAATAAATGGAGCCAGCCTCAGACCATAGTGTTCAGGAAGAAAATTAGAGGGATAAAACATCATTGCTATGAGGGAGAGAGGGAGGAAGGTAGCAAAAAACAGAGAGAGATGAAACCTTTTGCTTCTTAGTGACCTACTAAGCTTGCCTCTTATCTGTCTGTAATACAGATTTCAAAAAACATCTTAAACGTGCTACATTATCTCAAGTTTTTAAACCTTGCTTTTGAAGGGTATAGCCATTCCAATCCTGTGTAATCTGATAATATTCACTTTGGCATTATCTTGCAAATTCCTTTGTGTCTAATCAGTCATTGCCTAGACCTCACAACAAATTTTCAAAATGCATAACATACTATACAATAAGGACTTAATCATAAATTATTAATGCATTCCTATTTAATGCCCCCAGGGTGCTATCACGTGTTTGGCTGGGCAGCTGCCCTCGACAGGTCGAACATGTGACAATCAAGATGAAGCATGAATTGGGCATTACTGCAGTGATGAACTTCCAGACAGAGTGGGATGTGGTGAACAACTCCTATGGATGCAGACGCAACCCAGGGGAAACCATGACCCCAGAAACCATGATGCATTTGTACAAAGACTGTGGCCTGGTGTATGTGTGGATACCCACACCTGACATGAGCACGGAGGGTAAGAAGAATTTTATGGAATTAATTCAGTAATAAGAATAGTATTGAACTGAGTCAGAGTGACAGAGCCGACACAGTTTTGAGTTGTTAAGGAGTCAATGTCTTCCTTAAAGACACTTTGGCAGTGCACACGCTTTAAGCTCTAAACTTACTCATTATGCCAAGCTTCACTGTGCTGTTTTTTCACTTTAGAAAGAGAGCTAGATGAATGCAAGAAACACACCTCAAAAGGATCTGTAATTGATGAAATTATAGCCAACCATGACCTTCCAAGGTTACCTTTGGCCAGAGTGTCAAGAATTATCTATAAAGTATAGAATCTCATGCATTGTGTTAGTCAAAAAATAAGTGTTATTTTTGCTTCTACATTGAATTTAAGCAAAGAAAAAAAGTCAGAATTACTCGAAATAGTCTTGAGTGTTATCACTTTCTGAGAAAGTCCCTGGAAACATTTACTGTATATAGTGATCTTACTATCTCTTGATACTTGCAGTTCATTGCTGACAGTATTGTATTTTGCTCTGTCCAGCAACCTGCACAATAACTGTGATAAATGTACTTTTAAAGTATGCATGGGTATGCCTTGAGGCAAATAACTGCCAACAGTCATTTAAGGTACTATATATTATAAGTTTCTTCTCCAAGGGTGATGCAAACTGGTAAATACCCAAGTTAATCCAAACAGGTCAGAGTATGTTACAGGATAAGTATTGTGATATTCTATTTTTCTTAACATCAACAAATCCTACTAACAAGTATCATATATGTATCAAAAGTCTGATTATTCATCTGTGCAAGAGGCCTTCATTGTTGACTATAAACGATTAAAAATGCATTGAGCATGAGCAAAATTATTGCATTGCAGATGTTTCTTAACTCTGAGTCAACCTCACATACACCTTCCTGATTCTGTAAATATTTACTGGAGCACCAAGCCTTTATTAAACCACAGTAGAAAATAGTTCCCCAAAAACGAACCATTTATACCCAATACCCAGTTTTGGTTTATTATTTAGCCCTTTAAAAAAAAGTAGAAAGCTTAAATACAGTATGAATTAGTGGGTGTGAGTGCCACAGACTAGGCAAACCAGAGAGTATTGAGATGTATTTTCATGAGATTCATTTAGATAAGAAAAATATAGAATATCGCCAGCCCTCTCCTTTAAGTGTACTGTGTGTTTCTCTCTCCTTATACAGGTCGTATCAGGATGCTTCCTCAGGCTGTATTCTTGCTTCATGGTCTTTTGGAGAATGGTCACACTGTCTATGTTCACTGTAATGCTGGAGTAGGCAGGTCGACGGCTGCTGTGTGTGGCCTGCTAATGTACATCCTTGGCTGGAGCATGAGGAAGGTGCAGTACTTTGTTGCAGCCAGGAGGCCAGTAGTGTATATAGATGAGGAGGCTTTAGTCCAGGCTCAGGCTGACTTCATCCGGAAGTTTGGACAACTGCGACCATCCATCTCTTACCCAGAGACATGAGAGTTGAGTGTCTTTGTACTGCGGTCTTCAAATTTGAAGAGGAAATTTACAATTATGGAAAGCTCCACTGGAATGGACTTTTGGAAGCTAAACTGATTCCTACATAAATATGTTTAGTCAGCGTGAAAGCAGCCAGAAAGTGAAATAACCCGTAGCAAGAAAATTAACCTCTACTTAAATCTCATGTATGTAAATGACCCCCTTGGTTCATCCTGAAGTATCTGGAGAGAGTTCTCCTGGCTGCCAGCATAGATGTTGCAAGCAATTAATTCTGCTGTTATGTGTTAGCTTTTAACTTCAGGAATTACTCTCTGCCATTTTGCACACACAGTCACAAATTATGCACTTGGAGTCAACTGAGGACACTATTAGTAGTTTTCAGTAAATGTCTGCAGGGGTGTTTGGGAAGACATTTTCTTTTAGCCCTTTTTGTAATCATTAATTAATTGAGTTGACATTTTGAGAAGGCAACTTTCAGCTGATGTGTTGAACAGCAACGATTGAGAGGAGGATTGAAAGGGAAGCAGGTTAAGGATGGAGGAATATAAACTCTATTTCTCTTTCCACTGTTGCTATTGCATGATTATATATCATTTAAGAGAATCCCCTTTTCTATTTCAGAGTAAAAAATTGTCCTTTTTTTTTGGGAGAGAAGTCTTAATGCTGCATGAAAATGGCAGTCCTTGTGAAAGCAACAAATTCCTAAAATGATAATGCCCCTCCATCTCTGTCAGACAGGTTTTCTGCTCCCAGACATCGAAGAATACAGCTCCGCCCCATCTCTCTCAAAGAGCTTGATAGCATTTCATCTTTATTTATTTATCCGACAAATGTTATTCCAGCCAATCTCCTACATAACAAAAACAACATCCTTGCCAGACCATTTTAATGCATACATAATAAGACATTATTGGAATACTGTTTGTTGTCAGTTTTGAACTTCTGCCTAGACTCTTGTTGAGAATACATTGCGTTTTTAAGATACAGTGTTTTTGTTACCTGTCCCTTATTTGAGACAGTTAGTGGATTAGCGAGGAGGGAAGATTCTTCTCCTGAAGCACAAGTCTTGTCATTACCTTTCAGTAAGTCTCTGCAGAAGGCAGCACCTTAAGACGGTGTCTGTGGGGATGGATTGGTGGATTGAGCCATGCATATGTGCTAGGGGAAGCGAATTATCATGAATTTCTAAACGTGCTAAAAATAAAAACTGAATATAAAATTATTGGAATACTTTTCTTTTTTTAAGAAGCAGAATGTTTACAGGTCTGAAAAAAAATGTGCCTGCCTGCCTGCCATGTGCCATGCTGGGATTTGTCACTTAATGAATGCAAATGTAATTGGTAAACATGTTGCATTTATTCCTCTGGGTCGTTATCAGTGATTGATGTTATCAAGTATTTGTAGTCCAGGATCTGTCAATCACCTACACCAGTTCCCCTAGATCCTTGCATTCAAATTAGAGTAGGTATTATAGTGCATTTGCAATAGTCACTTCTGTACCAGATACCCGTTTTATATGGTGCAGAAGATTTTCCACAATCATCTAAAGTTCTATTTCAACCAGAATGTGCATTACACTATGTACATGTGTTGTGCTTATTGTTTTAGCTTGCAATGTCCCTCCAAGCCATCAGTCTGTATTTATTCCCTCTACTTCGCCCTTTACAGACATTCATTCTGTTGATTTAAAGCATCACAGACCTGTTCTTTAAATTTGCTTCTGAAGTACAACTTCTATTTATCCCTTAATGGATCCATCAACTGACACTGACCATTTTTTAAATTCTCTGCTTCAAGGTGAAAAAATGTTTTGAAAAAACAAACATTTAATAAATAACATTCTTTTAAGGTGTAAATCAGGGGGTCTTGGTGATGATAATGTATTTGTAAAACAGATTAACATCAAGAATTATTCTGACAGTATCTGAATATCTCTATTGTCCTGTCATTCATATCCAAAGTTGATGATTATACTTTAAGACATTTTTAGTGTAGTCCTCACTATTCATGGCCTGTATATAAAATAGTGGGATGACCAGCATACAGAGAGTCACTAAACTATATAATCTACTAGATTACAGCAATTTAATACAACAATAACCTTGTATTGTTGCAGTTCTGAATTTCATTTTACATAGTGAAATATTGGAATCTTTTTCAAGTTGCATTCAGCAGACAAAATATTCAGGATACATAAAATAGACTGACCTGCTGAATTGAGATTAAAGATATAATAACTGAACGATTTGAGCCATTCATGATAGGGATGTTAATCAAAAGGAATCTTACATCCTTCCTGCACTGTTAAGGATACACCTACAGCCGGAGCAAGGCAGGCAGCTGGGCGTAATATTAACTAATATTACGATATTTCATGTATTTTAACAGGCACATATGCTATGACATTTCTTCTGCTGTACATCAGTGTCTGTTTCAGCCGGTGAATTAAAATCAGCACAAGTTTGTGACAGTGACACAGCATAGAGACAACATCCAAGAAGAAAACAAAATACCAGAGCTGAGCCCAGAATTTACTGCCAAACAACATCAACAGAATGTCTGATATGGCAAATCTCGCCAGCTGAAAAGATTGTATCCCATCACTGTTAGCAGTATAAATAATACCCGTTAGTGTATCAAAGATGGCAAGTACCCCAGACAGCCCTGGCATCCCAAGCAGAAGTTTACTATAGACTGTAGGCAGATCCACTTATTTTTCACATTAACCTGAGTCTTGCCACTGCTGGAAAATCACAAGGAAACAAGTGGGTCCACATCATTAGGGCTAGGCGTCAAAAATATTATAGTAATATATATATTTTTTCATATTGATTGATATAAATAATTATTAATAAATACTGTACATGTCATACCATTTATGCAGAAGGAAACATTCAGCATATTTGTTAGAGCTCAAAGATAAGTAAGTTAGAAAAGTTAAGTTTTGTTGAGGAACAGTGAATGTAAATATAACTTTGTTGTTTGTTTAAAAGAAAACTCCACAGGATACCTTTTAATTTGAAGTGCAAAGGGTATAATGAGTCTAGGATTGTAATAAATGTATTATGGTTCTGAACTATCATTCTATCTGAACTATTTTTGAATTAATAGCGTGATACTCGCCACAGCCATTAAAATTGGTGTAACATTTTGGCCTCAACAAGGAAACAGCAACAATGCTTTTACTAAAACATCACACAAAAGATCAAATTGTTATGCTACACATATTAGCACTGATGCTGGGAGATGTATTTACTTTTATGTTCCACATAACTGATATAAATATTGACTCACTTCACTAAAATGTACTTTTTGAGCTCTTATATGCATGTCAGCAGTCTTTGGGCTTTACACATACTCTGCTGGATGGTGGATGAACGTTTCACATGATGGAAAAGGTTGGTTCTAGTCCCATCAGCACCAGTTGCCTGCATATCTTGCAGCAGATATCACTTTGCTGTTTATCCAGCTTTACATGTCCGAACTATTTCCAAATCACCAGCCTTGAGTGATCAATTAGCTGCAATTTCCTCATCTTGTGTGGATGTCTGACTCTCCTTTTACATTTCCAACAATGTGTTCTTTTTCCCCTTTTTATGGCCATGCACAATCAGATATGTAAGCCTATTGCTGTAGCCTAATAGAGTGATTGGGCAGATAAAAGTTGATCGAAATGCATTGTTTTATCACCCAGTCCTACATATCATCATTAAAAATATGAAAAAATTGGCTCCTTAATGCTTAATGTTATTATGTATTTCTAAACAAATCTTGTGCTATTAGAAACAATAAGCTGTGAAATGCATGCAGGTAGGATTACTACGTGTATGTTGGTTTCCCTAACTATTCAAGTTGTACCCTACACCATGTGACTCCTGGCTTTACTATACATTGCTGCCAATCAAATTCAGTTTGGTTCAGACACATAATCATGTACAGTAGAATAGTTACACTCAGATAGCAAAAGGAATGACCACATACTGATTAAATATAAAAAAGAAAGCCGAGTCCTGGGTCTTAAAAGTCGTTGTGAAAGTCAACATTGTAAAGCTGCCCCTGAATTGAAGACGATCAAGAACATCTCATTTAGATTTTTTGTGAAATGGATCCCACATAATGAAACTATTACCTCCTGAACAGGTGGTGCTCCACAACTCACATGTTTAGCAATATTACAGTCTCCACATCATACAACTGTATTTGTGGCTGAAACCTTTGCTAGAATCAAAATCTCTTTAAATTCATTTATATATGGAGTATTACATGATTTATTTGTTGAAGAGAGCAAAAAGACACACATGCACTATGCATGACACCCAAAGTGCAAGTATACAACACAAGTCAAGTGTGTAGAGTAGAGTATATCACCCTGCATTCCAAGATAATTATTTTATATTCTATGGCTAAATAATTCTCAGCCACTGCCTCATTTCATCCAACAGTTTGGTATCAAAGCAGCAGACATTCAGTCCACATTTTGCAAAGGCTCATTAAACGTCCCACTGCTTTATTTTGCATATCTGTGAGATGGATGAGCAGAACTATTCAAAGTCAGTAAGGCACACTACTCACAAGAAGAAATTATTTGTTTACTTTCTGTATTAGAAATTATTATCTAAACACAGCCAGTCTATTTAAGCTTTGGAGAGTGAATTGCCCAACAAGCCTTTAGTCTTCTGAGATGCATGATGCTTTGAGCACGAACTCTGCCCTTTGAAATACTTACTATTCATCTTCCATGCAGTTCTATTAGCTTGACCACTCTGCACTAGGCATTCATTCATCATAGAGAGGTAAAGCTTTTTCACCTGCACAGACAATCCCACAAGTCACACATACAAAGACCCACAAATGATTTATATGCATCACGTCCGTCTGGGCACCCTCGGCCAATTTACTTAATAGATTCCAAGTCCAGCCATATCATTTGCGTGGTCTGGGCTCACTATGTGCCTAAGAAAAATCCAGCAATGAAGACATTGCTCTTGACTTTGCTCCCGGGCAGAGCTCCAGTCACCCTGTCAGATATTGACTGTGGAGTACCGACTATAGCTCCAGATTTACAGACTTATTCTACCATGTATGTTTCAGTAGCTTGCACCAGCAGCCCATCTTGTTGGAGGACAGGTTTATCAATGCAGTTCAAGAACATTTGACTATGAGGCATTCAGTGCAATTCGAACAGGCATGAGTAATGTTGCACAGTTGGAACTACAATAAAAATGTCAATAAATCTGGGAGGCTGCAGTGTAACATTGCTGAATAATAAATAAATTTGAGATTGAAAGATGTAGAGTCACTGCATGAAGCTGGATAGCATTTCCTAATATCTGTGCCATGCCAAAATATGCATGTATTCCTCCAGACAAACAACCACACTAGACTTAATAGATATGAATTATGTACAGGCTCTGATATATGTAGGGATACTCACTTTGAATTTTTTTCCTGACTGATAGCCGACGCTCATTAACTGTTTTTAACCAAGATTAAAAGGTTCTATTTACAATAGAGTAGTATCTGTAACCCATTAAAAAACACAGGGGTTAGAGTGGACTGCAACGATCTGGAGCATCTAAACAGAGAGCGAGACGGATAAGCACAAAATGGACAGAAAACCCCACCACACAAGGCGATGGTCCAGTCCTCCTAACTTCATTGTTGCAGAAGAAGCACAGTCCCACTTATCCAGGGGCATGGATAAAGCTCTATGTTATAAATGTATGAGGTTATTATAAAGATCAGCTCAGTTCAGCTCACATCAGATCAGTGATTAAAAAAAGAGCAGAGGAGCAGAATCGCTTCTTGACTGGTACAGAGAAATGCACTTCTGGTGTGAACAGCCAGGCTACTGTGCAACAAAGAGTCAGACTGGCATTAAACCTCAAAATTAAATAAACAGTCCTGGCCTACCTCAGTCCTCAGCATAGCAGACAGCTTGTCTACGGGTTTTTATCAAGAAATAGCAGCATATCAATATGCTGTGGGGTAAGGCTGGTTTACAGTCTGTAAATTGTGAGACTCATGGCAGAGAATACACACTCAGATGGCACTGATGTTCCAGGATATTTTAACTGCTTAACTAATTTAAGACCTAAGTGAAGTCTGGAGAATGGTCAGCATTTGGCGAAAAGCAAAACCTGTTGGAAATGTTGACCATTCTCCCCATTTACCTCCACTATAGCAGTTCAGAAGAATGCTCTGA